TACCTCATTATTTTAAAATTATATCACTAAGCTTAAATTTATCAATTTTTTTTTCAACTGAAAATGCTCTTTAAAATAATTATATTATTCGAGCCCTTTTTATCTTAAATAGAAAAATATTTTATTAAAGTAATAAAATATTTATGCTCTGATACTTATTTTTAAAGCTTCTATGAATTTTTCATAACTAAACTAATGATACACATATATAAATATATGAGAATTATTTTAATTGATGAATAATTACGTTTGTGTCAATCAATTTTCACTTATAGAAAAACCTCAAGAGTTTGAAAGTAGTTTAGAATTTGATGGAATAGTTTGGGATTACACAGACATTCCACCTAGAAAAATAATAACAAAAATCATCATTTCTTGTAAGAATCAAAATGAAATAACATATTCTTAAGATGGATCTATTCTAAGAATGTAAAAGTTTATAATTAATATTAGAGATTAAATTAAAAACAAGTGGATGAAATATGAAGTTCTGACTAATATAGAACAGATAAAATATTTATTTTGGTTTAGAGAATTTAGAAATAATGAAAAAATTGATAAATGTATAGCCACTTGGAAGGGAGAAACTTTAGTAGATGTTGGCGGCTATTACTCAGAAATAGGGTTAAAATAAGGTTTGTGGAAAGAATTAATAAAGAACTATTGGAGGTTTGTTACAATTATTTCTTAAATAGTAAAGCACAGGTTTATGAAGTTGGAAAATATAAGAATAATTTGAAGAAAGGAACATGGAAATATGTTTACAACGATAAGGAGATGTTTTATAAATTTTATTTATTTTTAGAGGTGGGGGAGATTACAATTAGAAGGGGTAGAAAAATGGCAAATGGACAGAGTTGTATGATAGATTTTCGAAATATTCATAAATTACTCATATTGGTTTATATAAAAATGATAAAAAAGTTGGTAAATGGGATATTTACTAAAGAAAAGATGAGGAGGAACCATTTGTACAAATGTACTCATAATATAATATTATTTTAGCGGAGGTGGATTATATGATGAAGGAGATTCAGTAAAGAATGGAAAATGGAGGGAATTAAGTTAGAAGTATTATTAATGGTCTTAAGTGATGTATGAAGGTGAATATTCAAATGGTAAGAAGATTGCTAAATGGGATATTATGTTTCGAAAAAATGAGAGAGAACCATATGAACAATTGTACTTTTTTAATAAAATGATTTTAGAGGTGGAGGATTATATAATGAAAAAGATTTTAGTAAAATTGGATATTGGACAGAATTAAGTGATGAATTTTAAAATGATTCATAAATAATTTTTTATGGTGAATATTAAAACGGCAAAAAAGTTAGTAAATGGATTACTATGTACGAAGGAGAATAGATGTAATATTATCTTACATATAAAATATTCACTTTAGTGGTGAGGGATCGTATGATGAAGAAGGTTCAATTAAGATTGGAAAGTGGACTGAATTAAAGGATGGATTTGCAAAATGGTCCTAAGTTATTTATTTTGGCGATTATAAATAAAATAAAAAAGTTGGTAAATGGAAAATTTTGTATAGGAAGGAAGGGAATAAATTATTTGAATAAATGTAAAAATAATATAAAATTTAGTGGTGGGGGATGTTTTAATAAAGAAAATTCAAATAAATCTGGATTTTGGACTGAGTTAAGTGATGAATTTAAATTTGATTCATAAATACTTTTTTATGGCGAATATCATAATGGTAAAAAAGTTGGTAAATGGATAACTATACACGAAGGAGAATAGATGTAAAATTATCTTAAAAATAAATATTCACATTAGTGGCGGAGGATCATATAATGAAGGAGGTTCAATTAAGATTGGAAAATGGACTGAATTGAAAGATGGATTTGATCGATGGTCGCG